AGGGGCACCAGATTCAAAGGGGGCAGTCTGGCCCTAGCCGGTATGGCTCAGTGGCTAGAGACAGGCCTATGAACTGAAGGGTCCCGGGTTTGATTCTGGTCAAGGACACATGCCTGGGTCGTGGGCTCAATCCCCAGTAGGGGCTGTGCAGGAGGCAGCCAATACATGATACTCTCTCATCATTGATGTTTCTATTTTTCTCTTCTTCTCCCTTCCTTTCTGAAATCAATAAAAATATCTGTTTTTAAAGGGGGGGGGCAGTCTGGAGGCCCTGAGGCCTCACGCTCGCACTGTCCCTACTCTGCCCCCTCCCCAAAGCACGGAACACGCTGTCCTGGCTGGAGTCCCAGGGTGCAGACGGAAGTGTGACAGCTGAAGGCGCGGCAGGGAGGCGGGAGAGGCCACAGGGACCGGGAGGCCCACGCCTGAGTCCTGACTTGGATCCCCAACCAGCTGTGCAACCCTGGACGGGCACCTGCCCTCTCTGTGCTAGGAAGACCCAATAAATGCAGATCTGCTCCCAGGCTACGGAGTCACCAACAGCCACGCCCTAGCCATGTGTCCCGCCCCCCCCCCACTTCCTCCCTCCCCACCTTTGCTCTGAGCAAACACCTGGCACCCTAGGGGCACAGCCCCCATGCTTGCTGCTAATGGGACGGGGGCTCAGCCTTGCCAGGTCTTCAGAAGGGCTAAAAACCTGGATTTTTTTATAGAAAACTTCCTGAGCGTTAAATACCAGTGACCCATTCAAGTTTCTCTAAAACACTTGGAGGCCAAAGAAAACACATCTGCAGCTGGCCCTGGCCCGCGGCCCCCGGGACACCACGCCTATTGGAGAGTTTGACATCCGTCCACCAGGCACCTCGTCCCCGGCCAAGGCTGCTGGGTTGGCCCTATTTTCGAACGGGCAGCACCATCAGGGGCCTCAGCTGTATCCCCGTCCCGCCCAGGGCGTGACCTCGAGAGAGTTCTTTACCAGAGGGAAGTATAACCCATCCATTACCCAAGGCTGGGCTGGGTCCTTGGGCTGCTTTTCGGTACATTTCACAGGTGGCCCAGGAGGCACCGGCTCTGATGGAAGAAATGTGGCTCCCGTGGCTCCCGTGGCAGACAGCTGTGGCTCCAGGCTTGGCCCCCAGCCTTTCTGGCTGTGTGGCCATGGCAATGTGAACCGACCTCTCAGAGCCTCGGTTCTCTCCCCTGTGCAAGATGGAACAATGCCACCACCCCCACACCCAAGGGCAGTGCCTGGCACACAGTGGGCCATCTGGGAGGTTTCCTCTCTCTTGCTGTTAGCGTCTGTCTCAGAGGATGGGCAAGGGGCGGGGTGGGGGGCAAAAAAGAGGCAGCAAGTTGGTTCATTTGGTCCCCTTCTCTCTCTTTTTTAAATCCTCACCTAAGGCTATTTTCCTGTTGATTTTTAGAGAGTGTGGAAGAGAGAGGGAAAGACAGAGAGAAATATCGATGTGAGAGAAACACATCGATTGGTTACCTCCTGCACACGCCCTGATCAGGGCCCGGGCCGGGGAGGAGCCTGCAACCGAGGTACGTGCTGCCCTTGACCGGAATCCAACCCGGGACCCTTTGGTCTGCAGACTGATGCTCTATCCACTGAGCCAAATCAGCAAGGCCAGTTGGCCCCTTCTTTGGGAATTCTGATAAAATGAGGTTTCTGTCTACTGTCCCCACCGAGACCCCCTCGCCACAGGACCCCACCTCTCCAAACCCCACTACGCTATCAGGATGGGCTTCTCAGAGGGCCCACAAGTGCAGACCAGAGAGGTCCCATGGAGACCGGATCGAGCTACATGTCTTTGACAAAATACTTCCCCTCTCTGAACCTCAGCTATCTGATCTGTAAAATGGGGATAATGCACCTACTATGCAGGTGGATACAAGACAACTACAGCCTGGGGCCCCCGCAGCTCTATACCTGTTACCCAACTTCTACCTTCTCCCGAGCACTGAACGCCGGACACAAAATATGAGGGCACTGGCTGTGCCACCTAGGGGCTGGAGGGCTGGCTCCTGCCTTGTCGTGGGGATCGTCACGTACAAGTGGTGGCTACAGAGTGACGAGGGAGTCTGGCCGATGTGGCTCAGGGATTGAGTGTCGACCTATCAATCAAGATGTCACGGTTCGATTCCTGGTCATGCCTGGATGTGGGCTCCATCCCCAGCTGGGGGCATGCAGGAGGCAGCCAACTGATCAGTGACTCTCTCTCATCATTGATGTTTCTCTCTCTCTCTCCCCCTCTCCCTTCCTCTCTGAAATCAATACAAATATATTTTTTAAAAGTAGAAAGAGAGTGACCAGGGAGAGGGTACAGGGCTAGGAGCAGAGAAAAGGCGTGTCGCCTTGGGAAAGGCAGGAGATGGCATGAAGGGACCTCAGTACATGCCCCAAGACAGCCGCCTCTGTGTAAGCCGCTCTCCATGCTGTGCACAGGGCATTTGTTTTTTAACATTTTCTGAGACTTGTTTTGTAACCTAACATATGACTTGGAGAATCTTCCATGAGCACTTTAGAAGAGCTGAGGGCAGGCCTGCCTGGACCACCTGGACCTCAGGAGTCTCCTGTTCTGTTTGCTCCTCTCCCTCGTCGTCCCCCTGGGAAGGGCCGTATCAGAGCCCTGTCCGCCCATCCTGAATATCCATGGAGCTGGGGGTGGGGAGGGCACAGGCCCTAAGAAGGGGACACAGGAAGGAGTGATTGACCACAAGGCCCCAGCCCAGCCTTTCCTCCAGGCCCCGTGTCACCCCGCCTCTCTAGTCTGGAGGAGGAGCGAGCAGGTGTATCCAGATGCGCCCCCAAAGTTGTGCAAGCTCGGCGGCGCTTACAGGCATTTCGACACCCCACTGAGCGTGGGTCAGGCAGAGGGCAGAGTGGAGCCAGCGAGGGGCAGGGAGGAGGGCGGTGCAGCCCAGCCGCGGGCAGAGGCGGCAGCTGGAAGAGCTGAACCAGGAGCACCAGGAAAGGGGACGAAAGGAAGCATCATCACCTTTGCTTCTCCCCCAGGGCAGTGGTGGGGAAGTCTGCACCACTTCCTGCCGGGCTGGCGGCCTTGACACCTCGCGGAGGACCTGCATCCAGCCGGCGCTCAGACAGTGTCTGCTCAATGAATGAACAACCTCCCCAGGCTAGGCAGGCGGGAAATTCCCACCAAGGGGAGCAGGAGCCACTTCTCTATCCACTGAGCCAAACCAGCTCGGGCTTTTGCTAGGGATGCCGCACGTGCCAGACTTTACAGCCATGAACCCCGTAAAGGTTCCTGCTACTATTCCCATCTTGCCAATGTGAAAAGGGGCCTGGGGGGGAGGGGGGCGGGAGCTCGCCCGGCTGTGGTGGCTCAGTGGTTGAGTGTTGACCTATGAACCAGGAGGCCACGGTTCAATTCCCGGTCGGGGCCCATGCCCGGGTTGTGGTCTCAATTCCCGATCGTGGAAGAGGCAGCCGATCAACAGTTCTCTCTCATTGATGTTTCTCTCTCTTGCTCTCTCCCTCTCCCTTCCTCTTAAAAATCAATAAAAATATATTTAAAAAATAAATAAAAGAAGGGCTAGCTAGTCTTCAACGCCAGGCCAACAGCACCCCACTTATGGCTCCCTGGAGGGAAATAAGTCACCACCCAGTAAAAGACTTCAAAAGCGGCCTGGCCTGGCTGGTGTGGCTCAGTGGTTGAGCATCGACCCATGAACCAGGAGGTCCTGATTTGATTCCCGGTCAGGGCACATGCCCGGGTTGCAGGCTCGACCCCCAGTGTGGGGTGTGGAGGAGGCAGCCAATCAATGACTCTCTCTCATCATTGATGTTTCTCCCTCTCTCTCTCCCTCCCTCCATTCCTTTCTGAAATTTAAAAAACAAAAAACAGCCTGTACCCCGGGCTTCTCAGAGCAGACTGACCCTGGCTGCCCGCTCGGGGGTCAGAGGACAAGTAGCTGCTTCGTGCCTCATTGTCTGGGCTCAATGGGGTTTTGTTGGCCGCAGGACGCAGGCCTGCGGATTTTGTTCCCATCTGGTTTGGAAACACTGTGTCCAGCGCTTCCCAGGCAGGCACTTCAGGGCAGGGTGGAAATGAACAACTCCTTTTAGCTGCCCAAATAAGGGGACCCATTAAGACTTGCCACAGGAGCCCGTTTTTGTTCCTCCCCTCGCAGCTCACACACCCCGGCCATCATTTCCGCTCAGCACCCCTCCTGCTCCCCACATGGCAGCCCCCTGGTCCCGGAGCTCCAGGCCACCCAGCTCCCCACCCAGCAGAACCCAAACTCCACACGCTTCTCTGCCGCGTCTCTCCCAGAGACAAGCCACTTCCTCTGAGGGCCTCGGCCTGCACTGCTGAGCCTGGAGCCCCCAGGCCCCCTCCCCGTCCTGGCCATGCGTGGAGCACCCCTCCTGGCGGCCCCAGGAATCGGATGGACAGTAATGAGGGTCCCATAGGAAGGATGCTCCACTTTCAGGGATATTTTTTTCAAAACTACAGACACAGCCCACTGTCTCCAGGCATCTAGGCCCTGGGGGAGGGGGGAAGGGAGCTGGTTGGGGGGTTCCAGGAGGGGAGGGCAGATGGCAGGGAAGGGGGTGTGGGCTCTAGCTCCATGCCTTTCTCCCTGTTCTGAGAGGAAGGTGCCCTGGGGCCTGGGGCCCAGTGTCGCATGGTCACCATGGTCTTGCCCAGGACGGGCAGGCTGCCAGGAACATCTAACGAGCCCCCGGGGATGAGGCAGGAAGCTGCTTCCAGCCACGGTGGGAAGGTGAGCTGGTCAGTCACCGGAGAATTCCCCTCTGGGGCACCCAGCCCTGCAGGACAATCCGCTCACAGGCGGGAGGGGGGCGGGAGCCAGGCCAGGAGGAAGCCCGGTGGGGTGGGCACTCAGGGCTGTGGTGCAGCTCAGTAAAGCGTGGCTATGTGCTCAGCTCCCAAGGTCAGGTGCCAGGGAGCTGCTCAACTCTGCCCGGCTTTGGCGGGACTAGGACAAGAAGTCCCCTCCGGGCTGACCCAGCCGCAGGGACACAGGGGAGGGTCTATATCCTCCAGGAGCCACAGCGTGGAGGACAGAGTACGGACTGCATGTCGACCCCTCAGGGGGGCCCCCAAATGTGTCATCTCGGGGGTCCTCACAGAGGAACCTGAGTGACTCAGTCCTCCCAGGGTTAGGATTTTAACATGATTGTGTGTGTGTGTGTGTGTGTGGTTAATCCTCACCCAAGGGTATTTTTCCACTGACTTTTAGAGAGAGTGGAAGGGAGAGGGAGAGACAGCGAGAGAAACATTGCTGTGAAAGACACACATATCAACTAGTTGCCTCCCACAAGCACCCTGACCAGGGCCAGGGGTTGAGCCTGCAACTGAGGTACGTGCCCTTAACTGGAATGCCTTTGACTGGAATGGAACTCAGGACCCTTCAGTCCTCGGGCCGAAGGTCTGTCCACGGAGCCAAACCAGCTAGAGCGAACATGAATCTGAGGACACAGACACGCTGACCACAGCACCACGTGACCTGTGCAGGGGGTGCTGGCGTGCGGCAGCCGTGCTGCGGCCTGGCAATGGTCACGGATCTGAGGAAGTGGCCAGGTCTCGGAACTGTGTGGGGAATCACCCCAAAGCATCCCAGCTGCTCTCAGAAAAGAGGTGCTCTCGGTTCCTCCTCACGGCTCCCCAACTTAGTGACGCCATGCGTGGTCCCCCATGGAGTTCCGGAGCCGGACACAAGACCTGGTGCATCTGACATGCCCCTTGGGCCACACATGAAGTCCCTCGAGCATCCGTCCCCACCTCTTCTCACCTGCTCCCAAAGCTAAGAGGGTCTGAGGGCACAAGAGAGCTGTGGCCACAACAGAGAAACCACCAGGCAGCAGCAGGCCCGAGTCCGGATACACGTGTACGCTCACTTCACACGCGGGAGCACCAGCGGGAGCACGCTGGTCAAACCACAGGCCAGCACCGCCCCACCCCGGCCGAATCGCCCCAGTTCTGCAGGACATGCCACGGCTGAGTCTGTGCCCAACACAACAGCAGTGACAGCAAGCACTCACTCAGCGGTTTCTGGTGCCAAGCCCCGTCCTGACGACTTTCCAGACATAAATGGGATTGACTCCTCACAGCCCTGAGGCAGGTGCCGGTGTTGTGCCCATTTTACAGATGAGGAAATCAAGGCCCAGAGAGCTTAGGCAGCTTGTTCGAGGTCAGGTGGTTCCTAAGTGGCCGAGGCCGGTTTGCAGCCGGGACACCTTCCCGGCGCTACTGGGCCACGAGGTGGCTCTGAGTGCGGTCTGCTACTC